TGTGGCTCCTCTGTTCTTGCTTCTGTTACTCCAACCATGCCCTTTGTCTGGGGCCAAACTTTGCATGTCAAGGGCCACTTGAATGCGAAGCTCCCCGGATTCTCACTACCTGACATGCAAAACCAGTGGGGGACCAGTTAAAATGGCACACACGCACAGTCAACACAGGTGTTCTCCAGTCAAAACACGGACTGCCTCTTACCCCCATACAGAGCTCTTAAGAATTCAACACTGATGACGGATCAAGTAGCTCAGTAGCAGAAAAAGAAGAATAAGATCAAGAGAATTCAAAGGATGCCAAGGTCTTTTCTTGTTAAAAAGAAACCTGGGGTGTGTGGAGCTTGGCAATGGAAAGAACCAGAACAACATGAGTGGAAAGAAAGTAATGCAGTAGGTAAGAATTTCAAGTACTTTTAAATCTGTTTTTACCTATCAAAAGTGAGCAGTAACATACAAGTTCGTTTATCCCTGTTAGGATGCATAATTTATATGTAGTGATTAATCTGACTTTTACCTAATTTCCTCAATGTAAACAAGTTTTTTTTTATCTCTTTTTAGTGAGTGAAAATACTAAGGAGCAGATATCCTGCAGTCCTGACACCCAACAGTCTGCCACTGTGCCTCAGCCAGTAGCAACCTTAAGATATGGGACAGCAGCAAGAATGAGAGTGCCAGTGCTTGTGGCAGGATCAGGAGGACGCGGGGCTGATGCCAGGCTGGACTGGTCCACACTGATGCTCCAGGGCTCTTTCTATCATTCCAGTACACTGGCCCTGGTCAGCAGAGCAAAGGTAAGATCTGACATTTCTTGTCAAGAATAGTGTCACTCTTATAATATCAAGTAATCCAAATTCATATATATTTATCCTGACAACAAAGCTTACATAACAAAGGAGGAAATGGCTTTAGGGACCGAGGGCTGCTTGGTATTGAAGGTGGAATTATAAAAGGTTGTGGGACTCCATGAGGACTATTTCAAACATGAACCCAGATAAGAAGTGTTAAGTCACTTCTGATCTCAAATGATCTAAGCCAGGGGAATTTAAAAGGTTGTGGGAAATTTTTTTAAAGCATGGATTTTACAACATTTTTATCCATCTTTATCTTACTTTTTAAAATGTATTTTGAAACACTTTTATGAAACAAAAATTTATATATCCTTATTCATAGCTTATAGGATTTTAAGGCCTTTTGGATGCAATTTATTTAAGTCAAATAATTATCGAAACATCAAAGGTAAGTCAACAACAAAATCTCAATGCACACTATCCCACAGCTTGCTGCTTTCTCGCAGTGTCACTGTCTCTAACATTGTGTCTAAAACTTTCATGGTAATGCGTCTCAAAAAAAATTTTTTGCACCATTATTAATGTGGCTGAGGGGCAAGAACGGATTGAGTGAATCCGTGCATTAGACAACGCATCACAATGTTAGACATATTTTATAACAGGCAATATGAGGAGAAGTGTGAAATAAATCTTGTGATGGAACTGTGGAAATTTAGGTGTTTTCTGGGTAGTAGAAAGAACATTCTCTGTAGAACCTTGTGCGTCAATGAATGTCCTCTTAACATTGTGCAAGACCACATGTCACAGCTAATGCCTGCATTCTGAGGCTGTATTCCCTGAACTGTTCCCCTTGAACTTACTTCCAAACATTTGGAAGACCGACTTGGGATCAGCACACAGTGTCTTTTAACCATAACCTGTGGGATTGACTACAAGCACAAGTGGTATGTGCGTTTTTGCCAGAGAATGACATGGTGACTGTGAAGGCTGTAACATATGATTCACATAATTTTAATATTCATCAAACCAATTTGACATTTATTTGTGAATAGTTTTCAGTTATAACACCATATCATTTCTCCTTACCAGCCCCATCCCCGGACTTCCCCAGGCTCGGGCGATTTTGTGTGCTCAGTGTGCCACAAGATATTCCCTCTGCAGCGCATGTTGACCCGCCACCTCAAGTGCCACAGCCTGGTGAAAAGACATCCTTGTCGATTCTGTGGAAAAGGATTTAACGATACCTTCGACCTCAAAAGGCATATGCGAACACACACTGGTCAGGAATGAACACCCTGTCTCTCTCTCTCTCTCTCTCTCTCTCACACACACACACACACACACAATGAAAAAAGAGCCTTCATTTTTTAAATACTACCAGGTTAATTTAATCTGCAAATTAACTTGAACTATACCTGTAAAATAAATGTAGTGGAGAAAAACTCAAGGACATTTTTGAGGCACTAATTATTAAAGTAGAGTAGTAAAGCTACTTTTCACCACTGCTTATAGCAAAAATCAGCTCAAAACATAAAATTGTTGGTGGAATTCAGAATTAAAACGAAAAAGTCTTGGCAATGTGTGTCACACAATTGCGAAGCCACTTGTGCCAATCTGAATGTACAAGTGCATCAACACAAACACACAGGAAAAAAACATCTTTTGTCTCCCCCTGCTGCAGGTATCCGTCCCTACAAATGTGAGCTGTGTGAGAAAGCCTTCACACAGCGTTGCTCTCTGGAGTCCCATATGAGGAAGATTCATGGCATTCACCAACAGTATGCCTACCGCCAGCGACGGTCTAAGATCTTTGTGTGTGAGGATTGTGGTTACACCTCAAGCCGCCCTGATGAGTATTTCCTCCATGTGAGACAGTGCCACCCTGGCAGTCCCGCCCTGCGCAGGTACTACCGCCGTCAGGCCCATGAGAACAGCAGCTTTACATCAGCCGACCGTAAACTCAATCCCTATTTGTTGTACTCAAACCCTGCATATTATATGTAGTGCTCATTCTAAATCTTAAATGTATCATAAGCCATTCATAAAATAAAAATGAAGTTAATTAGTTTTAATTGGGTTATCAACTATGTAGCACATATGTATGTATTCTTGAGCTTATACCCTTTGTGCTCATTCTTTAGTTTCTGTTTCCACTTGTATTAATCATAGTGTTATGTTTTCTTGCTCTATGCCTTTTATTAAAATAAAAATGAAGGATAACAAAAATATTTGTGATGTTTTTCATTTTTGGACAATGGATTTTTAACAATATTCATTTATTTTCTTTCTCAAAAAAGCAAACATACAGCCTTTAAAAACACAAATGGCTGCACCAGTATAAAGAGACAGGAGAAAAAACAAGGAATTGTGGATAGACGCAGTCTAACCCTGACAATAATAATAATCTAACCCATAGAAAGAAGAGAAAGCAATAGAAAAATTACCTGCTCCTCTTATTTTGAGAAGTGGCAATTGATATCTTCAGGTATAGTAGATAAAATTTTCAAATTCAAATAAACATTTTTTTATTAGGGTTCTAACCCTGAAGGGGTAGAATCCTATTGTTTTTGTTTCAGTTATTTTTTATTTAGGGCAGGGGTCTCCAACAGGAATCCCGTGAACTATCAGTAGCTCACCCACAGTTTTAGAGCATAGCTCACCCTAAAGGTCTGATAATATAGTCTGTATGAACCATGGATGCACAGTACAAACTTTAAGCAACACAACTTCACTCAGTAAATCTACTCGAAACACAACTAAAGATTGTTAAGCAGATTTATGGACGTTTATTAGCATTGGGGTTATCATGTCTGTGTGTTCAGGTTTGACTGAATCATGACTGAGATTTTTGACAGAAACATTGACACTGATGTGACGTCTGATCTGAGTTTCAGATACTTTTGGGACTAAATGAGAGTTTTGGATGTCAATATTTGATATGTGAATAAATGTAACCAGTAATAAAAGACATGAGTAGCTCCATTCCCTTTTATTTTGTCAAAACAAACGTAAAACAGCTGCCAAAACAAGCAAAGGTGTCAAAAAGAAGTCGGCTGTCAAAGGAGGCAGACCACTTATCAGGCACTCCGGGATTTTGTCAAAAGACATATTCTAAACCAAAGTTGTTGGGTTTTTTTTCAAATAACCATGGCTCTCATTCATAATCAGTCAGAAGAATGTCTAAAGACCGAGCTGGAACTGTTTACCGTTCCATACACTCAGACGTCTATTGAAAAATCCACATTTGTTGAAATCCCTCCGGTTTGGGCAATAACAGACACAGGTCGTCTGGAGTTTTACATATCGGCTAGTGGGGAGGATTATCTTGATCTGAATGACAAACACAAACAAGGATATTTTTTGACGGTTTTGGCGACCCACCTGTCTGTGACAATTTCCCGTCGG